CTGGGGTGATTTGTCTCACCTGCATCGTGACAAACCGTGGGAGCCTCTTCATCACATCATATACAAAGTCCGGTGTAAATGGTTCTCCATACTGTTCAAGCTCATTATCCTTGAGCCGCAATCTCAACTGCTCAACTGTTGTGGCGGAATCTATGACCGAATACTCGCGCATGAACATTATCCTGCTTGGGTCAGTAGTATTCCAGAATTATAAAGTAGAGTCTAACGCACATAGCATCAATCAAAGGTGTGTCGCTTTTGAAACTGTGCGCAGCATTTTTCCCAACCTGGTCCAAGAAATTATAAAAAGGGGAACAAAATACAAGAACTTGAAGCACCTGCGGGTCTGTTAGTGTACATCATTAGAGGCCAGGAGAGACATACTGAATTCATGTAACACATATTTCCCGTGTTAACAAGGCCTCGAGGTTCCAGAAAGGTAACTTTTGCATCACTGGAGACGGCACTAAACGATCGCAAAGCTTCTGCCAAGGTCTCTGCATTGATCTTTCCAAAGTTTGCAGGAGCCGAAGTCCGAGAGCCATTTTTGGTAGCGAGAGTGGCTGCAGTGGCTGGATTAAATAACCCAGTCCACAGCTTTGGAGTCGTCCAGGCATTTGGAGGTGTGGCGACTTTAGGTTCCTCTGGCTCCGGCTCGTCCAAAGTCGCATTCGTATCACCAAGTTGCTCATCTGGAATAGCGCTTTGTATCTTTAGATCATCTTGTGTCTTCTCAGGTACGGTTCTCAAAGCGTCTTTTGGAACAGATTTTGGTATCGCAGGTATGACAGGTACAGCGGGAATTGTAGATCGCTGCGACGGCTTCAGTGAAACAGGTGTAGCTTCGCTAGGAACAGGTTGGGATGGATGCGGTTGAGAGGATGGGGTAGTCGGGTTGGTTGATTCGCCTCGTTCAGATGTAGGGTGGCTTGTAGAAGGAGTCTCCGGCCGTGTTGCCTGGGTATCTGATTGTACCGAGTCGACCGCTTCGGCACTGGTTGCTAGGATGGTAGGGAGTTCGACGGCTTCAGCAGAGAGTTGGGTTTGTTGCCTCCTCTTCCGTCTAGCCTTTCTCGCCGGCCAGGGTAAATCTGGGTGTGACAACCATGGCAGCTACTCTGTATCAGCATGCTCTGTGAGTGTGAGGAATGTGAGTCTTACGGGAGGTCTGAAGGGACTTTGCGGGCTTTCCTGTGAGGGAGAATATTGAGGCACGTTCACAGCTGTTTGTGGGGTGGGAGGGGTCATAGGTCCAGGGACAGCTTGTGATGAGAGGGTTGATGAAGGTGTCTGCGAAGGCGGAGGTTGATAGGGTGCTGCCATGGCCGGAGACGCCTGGGAGCGTGGATATGGGTGTTGGGGCATCGGGGGATGCGCATAATGTGGCATGGGAGGAGGAGGGGACCGAACGTGAGGCGGCGGAGGCGCATATGGGCCATATTGATATGGGCCAGCCGCATTGTGGAACTGAGGAGGCAGCTGTTGCGGCTGGTAGTAATTCGCGTGATATGGAGCCATGTATCCATAGGGTATTGGGCCGCTCTGCTGGTATGTCAGGTTCTGATTATACTGTCTCCTCCGGCCCATATCCTGCGGCATCCCCTGTTGGCCTGCCGGCAGATGGCGACCATTCATCATGCCGGCCTGGGAGTGTGCTCCAAACCAACCGCGTCCTGAGCCGGTTGGGGAGCCGCGAGGCACTGCAATGCAAGATCGGAAGCGTGATTGCCGTTTCTGGCGACAGTATTGTTTAGACGGCGATCAGCACATCGAGAGTCGCCGTCGATGGCTGGCAAGGGGGCGTCTCTGGAGACGATAAGGCGGACGTTGTGGTGAAATAAATATCGCGAGTCGTCGCATGAGCAAAATATCAAAACTGCGGTTGACATGCTTACGGAGCGCCGGAGAAGCTTCGGGACAAATACGGGGACTGAGATTTACCCTTTACGCAATTCGAACATCATCATCACCCCTCTGCAGTCATCTTCTCCTCCAGCCCCCACTACCATAGCGCCGTCGGCGCCTGCCAGAGAGCAGCACCTGTCACAGCCCTTTTACATGTTAAGAGTTCGAATACGCCATCACCTTCCTTCAAAGATCTATTGTCGAGAATCAAGTTCTAATCAGAAGTTGAAGAGGATCGTGCAGGGGTCCTCAGTGCTGCCGTCATTGGACTGCCATCTGCAATGACTTCTGCCCTGCCAAACGCGTCTTCATCCGGGGGGAAAGCACTCAATATCTCATCTCCTTCTTCGTCGCACGTACCGGCACAACATCATCAAGGGCAGCTAGCAGCTCCAAGCGAAGCAAGCTCGAGACGTTCCGGTGGCCACTCCGGCTCGTCTCACGGAACAGCTCGAAACAACCAGGGTTATAGGAAGCAGCACAAGAATTCGAGACGACCAAGGCTTGCGGATGAGGATGCCATGGCGGAATCTGTACGTGATTTGCAAGATTTTACAAGCGTACACTGATAAATCTAGGGAGCCAGCCGAAATGCTACTGGCCGGAGGGGCCAGACCTCCATTACTCATTTGATGAACTTCAACCTTCCTCCCCCGACACAGGACTATCGGAATACCTTTGGGCGAGGTACTAGGAGAGGAAACATCTATGGAATCGGATCTGGTCACCATTCTAGCGACAAAGCGAGGTACGCGTGGTCATCTCCCTTTTTTAATCACTCTACTAACCGACTTAGATATATACATGCAAATTATCGCTTCATTGTCAAGCCGCATGGTGATTACAAACAACAAGCTGTAAATGCGGACCAACATCTGGACTGGAATGACGTCCTGCAAATTCTTGCCTCCGCTGTCTCGCAAGAAGCAGCATGTCCCATCTGCCTCTCTCATCCCGTTGCTCCACGAATGGCAAAATGCGGCCATATTTTTTGCCTGCCCTGCCTAATTCGCTATATGCACTCTTCTGACGATGCGGATCCGATTCCGGAAAAGAAGGCGCGGTGGAAGAAATGCCCAATATGTTGGGATTCAATATACATCTCTGAGACCCGACCCGTAAGGTGGTATATTGGTCAGGAGGAGCCGCAGCCTCATGAGGGGGACGATGTTGTATTGCGGCTAGTTATGCGGCAGCCAGGAAGCACCCTTGCACTTCCCCGAGATGGAGCTGATGCACTCGGAAAATCTGAAGATATTCCTTGGTATTTTGCGGCAGAAGTCACAGATTACGCTCGAATCATGAAAGGCGGCGAAGAGTATATGACGCAGCAGTTTGACGCTGAGATTGAGGGCCTTCAGTGCCAAGAAAATGAAGACGAGTTGATGTTTGGAGAGGACCCGGAATGGACGAAGAAAGCTATCAAGGCGGTCACGGAAGCAAAGGAAAGAATCAAGGGTATCGGCGATCCACCAATACCAAAACAACCGACCGAAAAGAAACCAAGAAGGCAACCAATCCAGTTTAAGTCCGTCAACGAGGACGACCCGGCAATGTACTTCGTCCAACATGCCTCTAAACCTGGCCTGAACTTGTCAAGAGAAGACGACCTTTCCTCAATCCAAGCAAAATCAGACAATCATGTAGCGGAGCAACAGCCGATGCCAAGTGTCGTTCACGCAAATGGTGACCCCACGATTCCTCATTCACGGCCGAGGAATACACACCCTCACATGCATGAAGCACACCATCCTGATGCACCGTACTACTTTTATCAAGCATTACTTCATTACTACCTCGCTCCCTTGGACATTAGAATTCTCAAATCTGCCTTTGGGAACTTCGCTTCCTTCCCTTCAACCCTTCTCCCACGCGTTGAACGTGTGTCCACTGGGCATATCATGGACGATGATTTGCGCAAGCGAGCCAAGTACCTAGCCCACCTCCCTCACGGCTGCGAGGTCGGCTTTCTTGAGTGCAACTGGACGGATATCGTCTCCCCAGAAGTTCTTGCACAATTTAATGAAGACATTGAACGTCGTAGAAAGCGAAATAGAGATAAAGAGACTCGAGAAGAAAGGGATAGACTTCGGGCCGAGAAGGTGGAAGACGATGCACGTTGGGCCAATGCCAGGAGAAAGCGACCGGAGTCAATACAAGATATTTACCACGCCGAAACTTTAAATCATCTTCCCACTAAGGTACAGGATCCAGATGATGACTCGCCGCCTTGGCCTGCACGGCAAGGGTCTTCGTTTGCCTCTCTAGCGTCGCCATCGACGAGCCCCCCGGGTCCAAGAACGGTATGGGGAACTGCTATTGTCCCTCCGGCATCCCCAGAGACACACCGGCATGAACCTGTAGCAAATTTCGATGATGGGTGGCTGTCAACGTGGGAGCAGGATCTGATTGCGGAAAATGACCTCATTGCCCAAGTTCAAGCGAGCTCATTGAAAGGCCCTGAAGACCCAAAACCGGGCGTTGGTGCGAGGAAGAAGAAGGTAAAGAAGATAACACTAATGAGTACAAATGCTAGAAGGGCCGCTTGATCAAGTTTGGCCATAATGCACGCTCGATATACTGTTGGCTGTATATATTTATTATGCAATGTATACATATACCTGCGTCTGTACGAGGCAATCGACCTCGTAACTACAGTAGTCTCAATCAATGATCGTCGGCCCTTTTCTCAGTCAATGCAAACACGAATCTGGATCACGTACAAGCATGAAAACCTCTTAACTAGTTAGATCACCGTATACTGTACGTAGCTAGTTCTTTCAGTCCTTCCTGGGATACATGCAACATCAAGGCACAGAACTAGAGTATTGGTAACATCATGCTACTTTCAGTGACCGAAACCAGAAAGAACGCATGTTAGAATCGAAATTTACCAGCACTACAAAGGGTGTGATATAAACTCGGTCGTAAAAGGGGGGTCTCGCTTATTATATATACATTGCATGGATGCTAATCTCAACACTAGTGCATCGCTTCTGAAATCTCGCGTGAAGTCTTGCCAAGGCAGCTTCACATTAGCAGCAATAATGATACAAAATAAAAGTTTAGCACAGTAGTGCAAAAAGTCACAGTTCTGGACGCTCGGGGAATTGAACCCCGGACCTTTCATAATCAAGCCCAAGAAGGGACATGCGAAACGAAAATCACTGAGTTTACTGTTAGAGAGTGTGAGGAATTGTGCGATATAGAATAACTTACTACCCCTAGACCAAGCGCCCGCTGCCCAGAAAATGGCTTATTTTCTTATATGCGTATTATACTAACCTTCTTTACTTTGAATCTCGCTTTGAGTAGTTTAGGCTCTGACTTAAGTAGCAAGAGACCGCGCTCTTACGTTTGGTATCGCTTTTTGAAGTCAGCTCTAAGTTGCATAGAGCCGAGTACAGTAATTTGCAAGAATAGTATATATTTCTACCAACTCTTGCTCTGCCCACCAGACTCGTCCCAGTAGATTACAAATCCGGCATACTGGATAACTATACATTGCATCTCCATGGCTCCCAACAACAGACGTTGCCAATATTATCTCTTGCCAATTTCCAAAATCTTAATTTGTCTATTTCGTCACTATTATACAGTTTATTAGATGTGACTACATTTTTGTAATGCGGCCGGATTTCCGATTTCGTGAGGAGATTATTTCCCGATTAGGTAATCAACGAACTTTAATTTTGGTCACCTGACTTACGCGTCTTGACGAAATTGTACACGCGACAATGGCTAGCCCCTCAATATCAAGAGTGATGGAGCAACCGTGTACCAAAGGCCATAACAATGAACAGTTGGCAGAGTGGTAGGAGAGAGCTGCTAGAAGATCTTGCGAAACTCTGCGATAAAGTTCGAGCGAATGTGGAGAATGGTATGCCTCAGATTTGGAAACTGAAGCTCTCACTGATCAAAGAACTGTGCAGAACTTCACGACGAGAACAGCATATTGGTCTCTCGAGACGAGTTTCGAAAACTCCAAAAAACGAATACTATAGTAGGAAAGCTGGAAAATGACTTTATCGGTCTAAGTCGCGAACAAGAGGAAGCACAAAGTGACGCTCGACTGGTGCAAGAAAAGACGGCGGAGATTGAACGACTGAACAAAGAGAATGCTCGGCTTACCGAAGAGTTGAAGCCATACAAGAGTGCTGCCGTTCAAGCACAAGCTGGACAATCCGAGGAACAGCATCAACTCTTAAGCACGGAAATCCAACCTGTCCAGGACTCGCAAGATATTGAAATTGCCGGTCGAGGAGTACATAGGAATGCGAAACCGGGTGATTCAGTGTTAGCCGCAATCTCTACCAACTTATCCTTATCGTATGGTCGCGTTGAAAAGAGCGATTCGAATTTTAGCACATTAGAAAGGTATAATTCTTTAGTTACAAAATATAACCAGGTGTTTCAGAACTGGACCGACATAAAGGCATCTAGAACGCTGCTCGAGAAGTCACTGCGAGCGGAGAAGGATAAAACCAAGCGGTATAATCTGTTTTGTGAAGGGCTTGAGAAAAAGCTGGATCAGAAGCGTGATAAGATACGACAATTAGAAGACAAGACTCGGAGTTTGGAGGAAGAAATTCAGTCCTTGAAACAATCGAATGCTGTTGAGGTAGCTCAAGTGGCCCGGAAGGAAGATAATCTAGGGAGTTTTGAAGACGATACAAGACTTTTCGAGCCTGCTCCGGTCAGTACCGCTCATGAGCGCCAAGCTGTAACAAGCTTGGAGCCATCAGCCGTGAATAATATCGCCACATTTTCACCTCAAATCGAATTTCCAACCAGCAACAACCCCAAACTCTCTACTTCCAATGAGAAGCAACTAGATCCAGAGAAGCAACCAGGTGCAGAATTAAAGCTTGGTGGTCGGGCCAAGGCAAATAATTATTCTCCACGACCGGACCAGAATTGGGAATCTGAATTCAACGAACTCCCAGTACTCTCAGACGTCAAGAGAGCTGGGAATCATGCAGCTGAGGACGCCCCATATGTGATAACCGAGCCATACCACTCCAGCTCTACGGATGATCCGTGTCTGAATTCTCCTTCTAACCTTAACGGCCATGGCACTACGATCAAAACAGAATCACAGGAGAGTATCCAATCTCTACAGGACATTCCGGTGATTGTACAGGAACGCAGTGTTAGAAAGAGGAAGTCTCATCAAAGCCCTAGAGTTACTTCTAAGATAAAAGTCGAAACAATCTCAAGTAGTCCTATCGGCCTCGCTGCTTTGCATGAGCTGGAAGAACAAGAAAGTGTAGATCTGGATGATATAGGCTACAAACAAATGACTCCTAGAAAGCAACGCGCACTGATACATGATCTTGCTGGATCGGGGCCACATGGGCCACGATCTGGGTCACGGCCTTCACGAAATATTCAACAGGAAGCTGTGAGTGCTAGAGCTCCGAGCAGTATTCTAAAATATGCACACATATCTCAAAGGCCACCTATGATTGATCCAGTATTCCAGGCCGGCTCAACTCCTCAATCGTCAAACTCTGCAAATGAGTTCATGCCAAGGAAGTCGAGTCATCGTGCAACAAAACGGCGGCGAGTCACCCATGATTTAGCTATACAAGAATTGGTTGAAGATGGCGAGAAACAAGGAGCCATAGAGGGCTTCTCCAGCCTGAGCGAGTGGTCAGACTCGGACGGACGATTGATGAAGCTGCTCGAAAATCCGATGCCTTCCAACCCTAAAGCGATAAGAATAGCCGCTTATGCTCCACCCAATGGCCTCCAGTATGACACTAAACTGCCGACAGTTCTGAATGCTACATCCTCTGCACAGGGTCCTCCTATGACGGCTGGAAGTCTGTCGCTCGCCTCTTATTCATCGCCTCCATTATCTCCCAGTGATAGAATAGCCTCGCGCAGACTTGAGACGGCACCGAAAGATCGTTCTAACGCCGAACGACCGAATTCGAGAGATGACTCAAATTGTCTCAATGGCAACCGCGATCCAATTATTCCGGCCAACCTTTCAATGACATCTGCCGAATTGCACACACCAGCTCATGGAGGTCTACTAGCGGGGGCGGTCACACCTCAATTACCCAAATCTGTATGTAATCATAGCCCAAACTCTGGACAGTCCGTTAGCACGACGAAAAGGAGCTCTCATTTGCGAGCTTCAGGTTCTAGTGTCAAGGACGAACCCAAGAATGAATCACTCCGTTATCGGCCGTTAGGTATGCTCGGCGTACATGATTTCAAGATTAACCCAGAATACAACAATGGTTATGATTATGCCTTTACAGATGTAGTCCGCAAGCAAGCAGCACGCCGATGCCTTCCAGGTTGTACGAAACCCGAATGTTGCGGCAACATCTTTCGAGCGCTGGCCACGGCGGCCCGCGATCCCAATAAGCCTGTCACAGCCTCGCAAGAAGAAGCTGAAACAAGCCTTCTCAAGGAGTTCCTTGGCGACAATGCCAACAAGATTCGCAACATGACGAGGGCTGAGAAAAATGAGGCTCTGCTCCAAGCCAAGACACGAGAGCTAGCAAATAAGCACGGCAAGCACCGACATGCATACGAAAGGAGACGGAGTCCACCCGGCTTTTGGAGGATTGATTTCCCCTCAACTCAGGAGGAGAGAGAAGACCGTCAGAAGTTAGAGAAAGTTGAGCGCGATGTGGTTGCCCAAAGATATAATGAGGCGATGAGGCCCGGGGGTGCCTATCTGTTCAAAGACGAATGACAGTATAATTGCTTTCAGTTTTTAGGTTGCTGCTTTGGGATGCGGCGATTAGCATAGCATTATTTGGAGTTGGAAGGATAAAGTATATAGACATGTCCAAGAAACATGGTAGATATAATGCTAGATTTTCCTAAGGTAGATGTGCCGCGTTGAAAGCGACGTTGGTAGATCAGACCAAACCCCACCAGATCCATCCTATGTGATATTACCGTGGATAGGACCCGGCATCCGTGCATGTCACGAATGTAGTGCATCTCTCCGGTAAGGGATCTTTTCACGTGTATCCTGGCGTGGCTTGTGTGGATATTTATATCCCTCGTGGCTGAGCGCGGCAACCGGGATGGTTTCGCGCTAAAGTCTGAACCCCATTACACCTCGTACTCCGAAGAACCAGGCGGACGACCTTTGACGCTGCTTTCAGCAACAACAGCAACATCTACGACACCACCACCACCACCAAGGGACCGACCGGATTGACCCGGCGCATGATCTCGACGGCACATCAAGATGGCAGAGCGAGAACCGTCGCGGAATCAAGATGACTCCATCTCGGAGGAGTCGGCGCAGCAGGGTGGCAAGAAGGAGAAGAGCAGAAGACCAGCTAGTGAGATTCCTCTGTGATCGAAGAATCGGAGGAGAAGATGCGAAGCTGACTATGGCGCCCTCCCTCAGATACTGCATTCCGTCAACAGCGATTGAAGGCGTGGCAGTAAGTCCTGATGTCTGAATCTCCATACGGCGCAGCTGACAGGACACTACAGACCTATCCTCACTCCGAAGACTGTCCTTCCGCTATTCTTTGCCATCAGTGTGATATTTGCGCCTATTGGCGGACTCCTGTTGTACGCCAGTGCACAGGTCAGTGACTGAACATCTCCCCTTTACTAAGGACGCATCAGCCGGACTAACCGCAACGTGCCGCAGGTACAAGAGATCATAATAGACTATTCGAGATGCTACTTGGATGCGCCGGACTTCCCAGCTACGGAAGCTATGTCCCCAGACCTCGTCACCATGCACTTTAAGAAGAATGCAAGTAATACTGCGAACCAAGCGCAGCCGTCGTGGACCAAGAGGCCTTTCAACGCCACATATTACAACGGCTCTGTTCTCCAGGCCACCGTTCCCGCCACACTATGCACCATCGACTTCACGATTCCCAATGAAATGAATCCCCCGGTACTGTTCTATTACCGCCTGACAAACTTCTACCAAAACCATCGAAGATATGCCAAGTCTTTCAACACCGATCAACTCTTAGGGCAAGCAGTCTCCGCAAGCACAATCCATGGTAGCGACTGCACTCCATTAACTACTATTGTCGATGGGGGTGTTACCAAGCCATACTACCCATGCGGATTGGCAGCCAATTCAGTCTTTAATGACACGTTCTCTTCACCAGTGCTGTTGAATGTGCCAGGCGACCATGTCAACAACCAGACTTATTACATGCAGAACAACACAGATATCTCATGGAGCACCGACAAGAAGCTGTACGGCCCGTCATCCTATAACTGGTCA